CAATGTCACTCAGAAGTCAAAGAGCTTGCAGGGAAATGAGTTTAATATCTTCAAGCAAAACACTTTGTGGGCCTCTGACAGTCAAACTTCTCACAGCATCTCAGCCACAAAATCCTCTATCATAAAGAAAGCCTTGAATGCTTGTTCAGATATTCAGTGCTACTACTGCAAGAAGAAAAGTCACATTGTCAGAAATTGCTCTGCAAAGCAGAAGTTTCAACAGATGATCACTGAGCTTACAGAGAATGACACTTCTGAGCCTTCAGCAGATTTGAAAAAAGAGTGAGTCTGAGAGAAGACTTCATCTCAGATAGTTCAATAGTCTGTGAGAGGTTTGAGATGAAGGACTTGATTGAGAGAAAGAGCTTTAATGTCTCAATTAAGTTAGCTCACAATGGAATTGCTACTTCTACAAATTCTCTCACTGATACTGAAGCAAATGATGTGAATTTTATTGATATCTGATACACTATAGAATTGATGAGATTCTTCAATAGAAAGTCTCAGAAACTCTCATTCAAATGCTGCATGAAGGGATACAATGATGCCTCTGATGAGATGATAGACTGCACATTGACTCTAAACCTCTGGGTGAATGACTGGAGATTCCAGAATGTTCCTCTGCTGGTGACAGACCTAGGCCAGTACCCTGTCATCCTGGGATGAAAGTGGTTGATAGCACAGGATATATGGCTTGATGTTAAAAACCAATGCCTGATTTGACTGAGTAAATGGTCTATCTCTGAACAGATGGTGGAGCTGATGCTGGAGATGATGCCTCAATCAATACTGAAGTGTCCAGACCCTAAGTCTGAGCATCAGACAGATGTGAAATGAAGAGAGATCAAACTGAATAAGAAGATCAGACAGAAGCATCAGACTCAGAATTTGATGAGAACTCATCTTGATACCCAGCTCATGACTTCAAAGAATCACCACACATCATACACAACTTCCATGAAGCTAACCCTACAAAAGCTGGACCCTCAAGGTGACTAGATGAGTGGCTGAAGGCATGGGAGACAGACAGCTACCTGAAGGATGAGGTTGATGATGACCTACCAGCATGAGGACATGCCTGTCTCTAGACCAGGGGGTGATGTTAGGCTCAGCGCCCGACCGAGCCCGACTGAGGCTCAGTGCCTGGTTAGACTTGATGTCGGATTAAGCTCAGCGCCTGGTTAGGCCAAATATTCTCACATGATCAAATGACCATGCAGGTGGTTATAACCTGGGCAGGCCCCAGCACCTCCTTTCATTCCATCAAGCTTAGTATTTCATTATATAGCAGTTAGCAACACAGAGAGTTTCCTTCTTATGCAGCTTGCATTCGCTCCCTAACAGCCATAGTCATATCACATAATGTATATCAATTGAAGCAGCAGACTGAAAAGATCAGGAAATATATCAAACATTGTATGCAGAGTTCATTCAGTTCTACTTATTAGACTCTAAGCCAGCTTGTCAAGAAATGTCAAATGATTATATATAGAATAGCATTTTTGAAGCAGAAGATCAAGAAACTAAGAGCTGTAAATGCAAAATAAAAAAGAAATTGAGAAATAGACTGTATATATATAGTTCAAAAAATTGCTTTGAGAGTTGAAAAAAGCTTGAATCATGTATAAAGAATTAATAAATGAAAAGAAGAGATGATTGAAGTTATTAACATTCAATCATAAAAACACACAGTATCACAGTGTAGTGTATATGAGACTATTGAACATACTATTTATACATACTCTCAGCATGCAGAAAATAATTTTTAATATAATTTATTACTTTCTATATATAATTATTACTTAATTTAATCTGAAATATTTTGAGTGACAAAAGACTAATTGACTAGATAATTCAATCAATTAAATGATAAATTATATTAATCAAAATAATATCATAATCTGTTTTATTTTTTGATCTATTTACAAAGTTTATTATAATATACTGTCATATTTATTCTGATATTAATAAAAATTTTAGTAAATCAGAAGTTTTATACTTTAAAATTTTACTGATTCAGTATATATGACAATTTTAAATATAGGTAGAATATCTATCTATCAGATAATTAATTAATAATGTGATTGCATTAAATTCAAAGTCTTTAATTCTTCAGAATATGTTGTTGAAGTTTGATTATGAATTTTCTGCAGTAGCTCAGCTATCAGAGGTTTTTTTTTAAACTAACATCACTAGTCTTTTATTATAAAGAAACTATTCTAATTATCTATTTACTTCTGCAGAGATTTAATTAAGATAATTATTTTATTTAATGATATTATGTATTAAGTAATATTCTTTCTCTCTGAGAAGTTGATGCTAGTAATATCTATATAAAAAGTAATTTAAGAGTTAAAAGTCTTTGATTCTAGAAGAATTTACATATGATTATTCTGTTGTTTTCTAATCTGTTTAAATCTACTCAATGCATTTACTAGTAAATTGATCTTGTCTAATTGATACTTGATCTTAAAGTAAAAATAAGAAAGAAACTCTGTTCAGTAAGCTTGATACACATTCAGCTTTTTGATAATCATAAAGTATTTCTGATATAATAATCAATGAGAATTTTGAATCATTTCTTCTGTTATAGTTTTTCAAGCTCTGCTCATCATTCTTGTAAGATCTGAATTACTGTTAGTATTTTATTTTCATAAACTTCATAATTAAACTCTGCATCATTTATTGATATTGAATAGAAGACTAATGAGTGTTAAAGATTATTTTCAAATCTATGACTTAGTATCTCAGTTACTACTTTGTCAGAGACATTAGTCTCAATATAAGTCTCTCATTCAGAGTCATAGTTATACAGTGTTGAAGTCTCTATCAGCTATTTCTTCAGTTTTTCAAAAACTGATGTACATTCTAATGTTCACACAAATGAGATAGTTTTTTCCATCAACTAATAGAGTAATTTTGCAATTTAGCTGTAGTTTCTTATGAATTGTCAGTAGGAATTATCAAATTATATAAATGACTAAACTTCTTTAATCATGATAAGAATCTATCATTTCATAATAACAGCTGTCTTCTCTAAGTCTGTCTTAATTTCTTTTGTATTGATGATGAACTTTAAATATTTTGTTCTCTAAACTGTGAACTCATATTTCTGAATACTAGTATGCAAATCAGCTATCTTTAATCAGTCTAGCATTAAATTTATTTGCTATTTGTGCTTTTTCAAATTCATGCTATAGATTAGAAGATTATTTATAAATACTATCATAAACTTATTCAAATAGTCAAAGAAGATACTGTTAATAAATCATTGAAAGCAGATAAAGATATTTGTAAAATTAAAGAAAATCATCTGATATTTATAGGTTTTGTAATTAGTTTTAAAGATGGTCAGATTCTCAGACTCAGAGTTTATTCAGATACAATAAAATCTCTACTAAATGTCCAGCTTTGTAAAGTATTTTATTTCATTAAGTCAATTTATTAGCTTATCTATTATAGGCAATACTGATCTCATTTGATTTTAGCATTCAGCTTACAAAAGTTGATATAAAATCATAGCTTTTCTCTACTACAGATAATCAGAATTGAAGAGATATAGAGAATTGAACTTGAGATGATGAAGTTCTTTGCTAGATTGACTTTGAAATAGATATTTACTGCCTCTAGTTTCTCTAGATTCATCTTATATAAAGATGTATATTCAATACTTCAAATAAGATTAATGTCAGACTGAAGCTCTATTTTAGAATCAACATTTATTTATAGAGGAGATAATTCATCTAATACTTTTTTTGAGAAATAGTTCTTCTGATCTTTTAATTATTCTGATAAATTGCTAATCAGCTTCTTATCAGACTCATTTTCAGCTCTCACTAAATTTTGCTTATTCTCAAGCTGTTTATTAATTTTATACACACTAATTATAAAAACTATTAAGTTTTTATTCTTTATATAACTGTAAAAGAAAGAAGTCTTAATAAAGTTCATATTCATTATTTATGATGCTATATTTTTTCAGATTAGTCTTTATTTTATTCTAGATATTGTAGCTGAGCTTATCTCTTTTAATCTGCAAAGCTGAGTCTAATGCTTTTGTCTAATCTTTTTATTCAGTTTGATCTCTTTTCATTTTATGTTTATTTAATACTCAGATTTAAAGTCAGAGCACTTTAATATTAACTGAAGTATTATCTTCAATATCAGCTCTATCATCTATTCAGAGATAGGTCATTCACTCAGTCAAATCAGATATTAATTTTTAACATCAAGTTACATATTCTGTGTTGTCAATCACTCTTATTTCAGAATGACAGAGTACTAGTTTAAATCTATTATTAGTAAAGAAATATTCTAAAATCTTCAGTTATTTACTTATAGATTTAGAGTTAATATATAATTTATCATCTCATCAGAAACATCATTGTATTTCTTCATGTGATATTAGAATAAAAGTTCTGAAATATTTTATTGAAAAATCTTATCAATTCTATGACATATTAGATATTGATAAAATTCACATTATTCACTTTAGTATCAGTAAGAAAATTTATAGAAGTAGTATTTTTATTATAAACTAAATTTAATTGATATATTAAAGCTTTTTCTCTCAATTAAATTCTTTATTTCAAATTTCTCACAAGCTATTAAATTATCTGAGATGAAGTCTTCTCTTAGACTCACTTTTTTTTCAAATTTACTGAAGACTTCGAAGCATCATTTTCTGTGAGCTCAGTGATCATCTATTGAAATTTTTATTTCATAAGATAATTTCTTGTAATATGATCTTTCTTTTTATAATAGTAGCACTAAATGTCTAAACAGTTGCTCGTAGCTTTTTTCATAATAGAGAATTTTATAGCAGAGATACTGAAGAGAATTTAACTATTGAAGATTCATAAAATATTTTTTTTGAAAGTATTAGATTTATTTCTTTACAAACTTTTTAACTTTGAAATGAAATTAATTATCTGAAGAATATAAGCTATTTGAGCATAGATCTTCTAAAACTCAGTATATGCATTGATAATTATGTTGACTACTGCTATTATTCTTTGAAGATCAAAAAACAGTTTGTTATTGAAGTCTATTTTGTAGTTTTTCTTGACAATTTTTATCTCATCTATTATATATAAGAATTTTATAACAAATTTATGATAATTGTTCTCATTGCATATAATTAGCTTGTGATAATCACTTTTGACATTATGTAGCTTGTTAGCATTCTCATATATTGATTTGAGATGCTTAAATTTCTCTTTTATAGTTTAATACTATTTAGAATAATTCTCTTTTATACAAAATACAATGTGACATGTCACATTCTCATCAGTTTAATTTTCAATATATGCAATTTTCATGCATTTAGTAGACTATTAATTGACATTCTCTAAAAGCTTGTTCTTTATTTGAGAGAGTCAGTGTTTAAATTTTAACTTCTTGCTGTTAGTAAGATGTTTCAAATCATTAATTTTGACAAATTTTCTGATAGTCTCAAAGAAGATGATATTTTAACTTGCTGCTTGATTGCTGAATGTTATGTAGATAAAAGTATAATTAAATCCATCACATTCAGTAATTAGCTCATCAATCTGACTTTGTTTAATAGCAGTCTAATTAGTAATATTAGTTTATTTCAATCTCAGATATGTGATTATATTTCTTAATATTTTTTTATTATTAAAAATACTATTAAAAATCACTATCAACTTATTTATAAATATAGTTATTATTTGGGTGAATTATCTTTTTGAATTTCTTAATTAAAATATATGATTGATTAATTAATTTTACTAGAAGATATCATTTATTTTTTTAATCTTTTTCAAAAGATTGGGAGTCTGTAGTGATTATCTAATGTTAAATTGAGCTGTTATCTTTGACAATGCTATTGTTTTCAACAGTTAATTTGATGTATTGTCAGACTCTCAACTAGTAGATTTTAATTCAACTGAAGCACTTTAGTTTTTCATTGAAATTTGAGTAAAAAGATAGAAGAGAATCTTAGTATTATGTTAAAAAATAAATATAAACTATATAAGATGAAAACTCTTTTCATTGCTAACTGATATATAATAAAATACTAAGATTGATAAGAAAAAAAAATTGTCAAAGTCTGTTCAGATTATAAATAGCTTATATGATCATGTGACTAAATCATAATCAATTCACTAGATTATGTGTGAGATGTAGTCACATGATGAAGATAAATTTAGTCTCAGTGCCAAGTCTCTATATAGTTAAAAATTTAATATCTTCTTTGAATTACTAAAGTATATATTTTAATATGAAAATCTTGCTCTATTTAAATTTTTTTTAGATATATATAAAGAATATAAAATAGATACTTTCATTTAAATTAAATAATTTATATTTATTTTACGATTCTTAAAATATAATTTATATAACTTTTATCAAATCTAATAGTTAGTAATGAAATTGATATCTTTATTTCTATAGCTTTAACTAAAAATATTTTAAAAGCTTTTATAACTTTTTTTAAAGCTTTATTTTATAATAATTAAAATTGATTTATAAAGTTTTTTTTTTTTTATTTTTTTTATTAAATTTTTACTGTATAATCTGATACAGAGACTATACAAGCTATATATAATTATCTCATAGCTTGAAAAGATAAATCTCTTTTAATTTAATTGAATTTATTTATAATATCATCAATTAGAATATTAGAATCTAAAATCATATTATATTTTACTATAGTTTTTTTTGATAAAAATAATAATAACTATAATATGAGATTTAAAATATAATTTTAAAAGAAAATTTTTACTTTTTTTATTCTTTTTTTATTATAATAAATATTCAAATAATTATATAAATAAAATTTTCACTTTTTAGTATTATAATTCACTATTAATAATGATTATAACAACTTTTATAAAAATTAATTTAGAAAATCTAAGATTTAATATTTTTATAAAAGTAATTGAATTGATAATCTATTTCATTTTTACTAAAGATCTTCTTTTTAATAATCTATTTACTTAAGAATTTCTTTTTTTATTTTTACTTCTTTACTAAAAATTTACTTTATTATTAGTAAAGACTGTTTTATCTTTTTAATTTTCTTTTAAAACTTTATTTCTTCTATTTCTTGAATAGAAAAATATATTAAAGCTGTTAATATGTGATTTTCCTTGCAATTCTTACATTTAACTGTGATATATGAACATGACTTATTTTTCACAT